TGTCTACCCCCTCCCTATTTCAAGGGTCAGGATTTCAAATATGTAAAAAAAAAAATCATGTTTATTCAGAGATAGTACGTTTTTGTGTCTGATTTCGTAACTTAACTAATAGTAGCACTAATTAATTGACATATTTAAGGTCACCCCCAGAAACCATTAAGATTGACACTTAGTTCGTAAAAATCCGATTATTGGAGCGAAAGCTATTCAGGGTGATATATTTTTTTTCTTTTTTTTTGCGGACTGAACACTAGCCAATCTAAAACTAAATAGACAAAATTAATTGTTTTACATAGGAGTCTAGCACTTAATATCCAATGCATCATTAAAAACCTGACTTGAATGAAGAATTGAGATTGAATGAAGAATTGACCTGAATTGAGAATATAATCATCTTGTGGCATTAGTTGATTCATAAGATAATGATTTGATGTTGTACTCTAACCAGTTTAAAACTAAATGAACGGAACTAAAATATATATGTTATCTTAGTGTGTATCTTAGTGTAACTAATAAAACTTAGTGTAATTTCTCAAAAATTTTCGTTATAAAAGGATAAACACGAGGCAAAAGATTATACTATCTAATTAAAAGACAGCATCAACAATTAATGCCTTGCACCGATTTCTAAAAATAGGGAGACTAATGGTAAATACATGCAATAGTTTGGGGATTATTTCATTGCAGTTCTCCATGCCCCCCCCCTTTTCAAATTTTGTATGAGAAAATAGAAGCATATTGAACTGTTTTTCATTTTCAGTTTTTGTAACAATATTTCATGGTAAAAAATGAGTGATTATTAATTACCAAGAAAAAAAAGATATTTGATTTATTACCAATTCATTCCATCTAAATTTTTTATAATATTAATATGATTTATCAGGTCATCAAGAAAACGTCTAGTAACTTTTTTGAAAGGTTACACTTTTAACCTGTCTAAACAAATTATTGTAAATATTAAAAATAACCTTTTTTTCTTTTTTGAAAATTGATTTTGTAGAAATGGAATGGTCAGAAATTCGTTCTACACTGTAAAAAATCTCGGTAAATCCTTAAGCAGTATTTGGTGCATAGTTTCTTATTATCCCAAACTTTAGTTAAATGAAAGACCATTTTATTTCAGTTACACCATAAATTGTGAAGTATGATCGAGAAATATTTCTACGGTGCAACTGACTGCACCAAAATTTGGTAGAAGAATTAAAACTTTGACGGTGACTGTAAACTAAACGATATTTGTTTACGACGCTATGTTTTCCTTACAACTCGAACTCGGTGTATCGGGACGACTCATGCATGTTGCTTCCCCTTATTTAGTTAGGTAAATGGTTTATTTGCATGAATGAAAGTTCATTTCTTTTATGCTGCCTTTTGAAATTTGGTTGGTAGTATAAATGGTTAGAGGTATGTCATAAAATAACTGTTGTTGTTGCTTATCCCCTTGGTCTAGAGCCCTAGACCAAGTCCAGAAGATCATGTCGCATCAGCAAGTCATGGACAGTCTCACCATCACTCATCAGTTGCCTCACAGAGGCAACAATGCAATCCAAAAGATGAGAAGCGATGGACAAGCAATGACAATAGGCATAAGTCTTTTCTTTCACTCTGAAGGACAAACACTTTATATGGCCGGTCCTAAGTCTTGACGAAGCTGTTTGAGCAAATCTAGGACAAGTGCACTGCAGGGATAATCCGGGGCATTTGGCGGCATACCAATCTTGATGTGATGGGTGCTTCCACGCTGAATTTACCCTAGCTAACTTCAGGGAGTGAACCTTAGACACTAGTAGTTTAGAGGAAGGGGGAGTAGCAAGTTCACTCCCTTCCTTGGCAAGCCGATCTGCAATCTCATTCCCATAAATACCCACATGGGAGGGGATCTACTGCAAGTGCACCGATCTGATCTGAGACAAAGTAGTCAATTTGATAACGATTTCCTGTCCCAAATTTCCCAAGCTACTTGGCCAGTTCTTCAAATATTAAATTGAACTCTTGCTATCTGTTAATATCCATATGTCAGGTACGCCAGAGTCCATGGCTATAGACTCAAGGCCTCATTTATGGCAATTAACTCTGATCGAAAGACCGAGGCATGGTCCAGGTTTCTAAGTCGGCGGTTGAGCTCTCCTTCGCCTGTTCACGTAAAAACACCACTGCTCGTTCTACCGGAATCAGACTTGCTTCCGTCCGTATAGACGACCAAGGCTCCGGGAGGGATGTTATTGATTACTTCTAGAGCCAGCTGACGTAGCAACTCCGGATGTTCAATTTGCTTGGTAGAATCGATATTTAAGTCATCTTTAAAAACTACATTAGTAAGAGAAGTATTAGGTGTCAATAGATTAAAAAGAGGGCATGGCTCGACATCAATGTCAGTCAGGCCCTGTCTCTCCATCAAACTTAGAGGGCTGTCCCTTTTCAGCCACTGATTGTTTGTCCAGTTTGATAAAAATAATGCCGTTCTATATAAAGTAACTTTTTACGGTAAATAGTTTTGTTTGAAGAAACAAAACACCTACTTTTGGTGCAATCTTCTACTGATATTTCGAGTCAGTAAAAGTAATAAAATATGTTAAAATTAAGCTCCATTGTATGTAGCCAGCAACTAATACTAATTTTTGAAGCAACGGGGTTCGGAATTTTTAACAGTGTACTATAAAGTTCATACGTTGAATTGCAGACTGAAAAAAACTTTAATAGTGCATTAAATTTTAGTGTTTGTTGATTATATGATTAGTCAGACAAAGAATAATCATTAAAACACAATACAAAGAGAAATATGCATCAAAAGAAATTTATTTTTTGTTTGGCTATCAACTTTATAAATCCTGAATCATCGATCATAGTAGAAATTACAACAAACTGGACGAATTGATGTAAAAACTTGAAGGACCATATTGATAAACAGATTGACTCCTACCTTAACACGTTCACGCCGTGAAAAGTGAAAATACTGGTAGAAGAACTATCTCAATATTAGATAATATTCGGGAGGAGTTAATCTATTCTCAACAATAACAATTCACTTATCACGGCGAAGAAGCAATTCAATATAAAAATTGCATCCGTTGAAAACAATTGGTAGTTATGGATTTTTATTATTCCCGGAAAAAAGCTAAAAAATGAAATTCATTTGTTACCAGTTTTTACTCCGGTGAGCCGCCAAGATGAGAAAATCTAGCGTGACCCACCGGTGGGTCACCCCGGCTTGAACATGTTAATGCAAGCCAATACTAGACGACGCATTTCACAAAGAACTGTGGCAGAAGAATCGGAGCATTCTTTGTAATTTATCAGCCCTCTCTGACTACCATTTCTTCTCCAATTTTGGCCATTTTTTTGATAAAATGAAAACAGTTTAATTTTAAAAAAAAATGCTTTTCATTGATTCTTGTCCACCAGGGTTTAATCTCCCCATTTAAATGACAAAAGTGAATAGATAATATGGAGGCAATAAAGCAGTATCCCATCATGTGTAAGCTACAAACAGACTTCGTATTTTCCTTCTAATTATATTATTTCTTTATAATATTAATTTGCTGTTAATGCTGCTACTAATTTGAGTAAATATCTAAAATTAAAATCAAGTAAATCATTAAAGAAAAAAAATTCAGTTTCAAAATGTAAAATAATGGTATAATAAGATGGCGCATAATCTGTTCTCTTGACTTATGTGTATAGAACAGATTTCAAATGAATTGCACCAACAGATGTAAGGATATTGCATTTAAAATGAAGAAAAATGATGAATAAACACAAAATATTTTTAGTACTATAATGAATCAACTTCTTCATTGCAACACACAGAATAAAAAGGACAAGTGCTATCAAAATCTGACAAATCACTGTACACTGTTAAAAATTAAATAAATATTACTGTAAAAAATATGATATTAAATTTTACGGTAAAATGGATTTTTACGAATGCTGAGTTGAATAGGCCAGTACTTTTTAACGTAATTTTAATCAGAATTTTTTACAGTATAGGATTTAACCAGGGGATGTAAACTATTATTTTAGAGAGGAAATAGTTTTTTTTTATCTGGATTTATTTCATTACTTTTTGAACAATTAAATTAGTTAAATATATAATAAAACAAAGCATTAGTCGATTATCACCAACACTCAAAGTATTCAATAGTTTTAAAGGGACTATTTCATGCTGTAATCTAGATAAGACAAGGAATCCAATCAAGTATATCCATAGAGCCCACCTACACTGTTAAAAATTCCAAGCCACGTTGCACCAAAAATTAGTTTTCATTTGCTGGCTACATGAAATGGAGCTCAGTTTTACCATATTTTGGTATTTTTACTAGCTCCAAATATCAGTAGAAGATTTCACCAAAAGTAGGTGTTTTGCTGAAACAAAACACCTATTTTCATTCTTTTTTTTCTTCCTTTTATAAAAGCAAAGAAAGGTTTCACCATTATTTATTATTTTTAAAGCGTTTAAATGCAGGCAAAGTTTGCCATTTATCGTAACAAAACTATTTACCATAAGTAGGTAATTTTATGACACACCTCTAACCATTTTATACCACCAATCAAATTTAAAAAGGCAACATAAAAGGAATGACTTCTAATTAATGCAAATAAGACATTTACCTACCTAAATGAGTTGATATTTGAAACAAATTGAATGAGTCGTCTCGATACACCAAGACGGAGTTGCAAAGAAAACAAGTTGTAAACAAATATCGTTTAGTTTATAGTCACCGTCAAAGTTTCAAGTCTTTTACCAAATTTTAGTGCAGTCAGTTGCACCGTGGAAATATTTCTCGATCATACTTCACAATTTATGGTGTAACTAAAATAAAATGATCTTTCATGAACAAAACTTTGGGATAGTGAGAAACTTTGCACCAAATACTGGTTAAAGATTTATTAAATTCTTTTTTTACAGTGTACTCCGAGAAGTTTTTTTATTCAGTGTTTGGACATTGTGTACGTGATTGAATGTGTTTCATAAAATATTTAACGATATTTTTCTTTTTTAGACAACTCATGAAAGCATCAAGAAAAGCAGAAATTCTCAAATTTTATGCATGGTACTTCGTATTTCTATCGGTTGTCTTCGTGGTGCTCAGTCAATGCAATTCTCAGGATTACTAGTCATGAATAAATTAATTGATATTTGTATAGAATATAAACTGTCTTTAGGAAATGAACAAGATGGAATTGAAAATGTCTTATCTGGATCATGCGTCACCTTACTACTAAATACCTTGAATAATGGAATTACTTTACACAAAAGACAAAAAAGAAATTGTTCTCCATACAAAAGGTAATTTCTATTGCAGTGGCGAGCATTTACTAATTATTTTGATATTGTTGCTTATTTAGAAAATGCCTCGCAATGCGCATTCCGTACGCATTTCATGAGATGTCTGTTTGAGTGAAAAATTTAAGGACAGAAAATAATTAAGATTTGTTTTCTTATTCATATAATGCTGAGCGTTCAAATGGTGAACTGATTATCTCAATTAGGATAAGCGAGATAAGACTTGCTGCACTGAGTTTTAAATACACTGTTGGAAGAAATTAAGAGAATTTGCAGACTTGGTCGATGATCTCTAGAACTACTGGACCAATTTTAATAAAATTTGATCTGTACATACATTGATACAATACAAAACAAATAACCAGTCAATAATTGTAATACACGCGCATGATCGTGAGTAACACTCGTTGGAGTCGGAAGGTATGAAATTGCCCCAGGACAAGTCAGGCAAATTGCCAAAGGAAATTAAAAACTGCCTTATTTCAAGTATGAAATCATAGGCAAGTATGAATCATATCAAGGCATGCATATCACGCTGTTTTGTTTATTCTGCAACCGCTGTTTCATACCTTCCGATTCCAACGAGTGTTATGCACGATCATACGCATGTATTACAATTGTTGAATGGTTATTTGTTTTGTATTGTATCAATGTATGTACAGATCAAATTTCGTTAAAATCGGTCGAGTTGTTTTTGAGAAAATCGACCAAGTCTGCTAATTCTCTTAATTTCTTATACCAGCGGAATACGGAAAATTTAAATGCTCTTTTTCTTGAAAAATTTTTTTTCTGTGTTTTTCTAACTATAACATCTGAAAAAACTAGAAACAAAAACTGCATAAAATCTGGACTATGTGTACTCCGAAGAATTTTGATAAACATATTTTTTAGAAAATAATAAAGAAAAGAAATCTGCAGTTTTAATTTTTAGAATTTTTTTTTACGATCAGTAAACTTGATCATCATAATACAATAAAATTTTGAAGTATGAAAAATAAAACAAGTTTTGTAAAACTAGTAAAAATAAATTAAACTTTAATAATATGATATCATTCTATTTTCGTTTAAATCAAAAATTAAAATTTCTTTGAAATCATATGCATTTTAACTCGCTTTTAAATAACTCATAGAAAATTTTTGGGTAATTTTTTTGTATATTTATTAAATTGTATAACTGTAAAAATAATTTTAAAAAACCCATTACTTTTCTCTTAAAAAAAGTATCTCAGATAGTCTTAAATTCCAAGCAAGAAGGGGCGATAACTGTTCCGATATTTTCCACCTTTTCCTGAGACGTCGATTCCGACTTATATCCGATGAAAATATTCTGAATCGTAGGAAAATATTAATATTACTAAGCAAATTTTATTTATAAATAATATATTTCTATGTTTCATGTACGATTAACAATTAAGAGAATTTTATTCAAAATTATATTTAATAATGTGACATACTAAATAAAATAAAAAATTTAAAAAATGTGTTTGTATAAAACATTAAAAATGCATAAAATCATTATAAGAAAAGAGTCACATACCTCACACGTGAATTCCAACTTATATAAGCCTTTCAATACAAGAAAATTCTTTAGAGAATATTCATAAATTAGAAATCCATGAATTAGTGAATTACAACATATATAAGCCTCTTAATACAAGAAGATTTCATAGAGAATATTCATAAAGTAGAAACCTATTACAAATGATGCATTAAATAAATTGTATATCTTTTTAATTGACTTTCCAACTTAGTTTTGGAATTTCATTTTCTACAAACAGCAGTTTATTTATTAATATTGATTTTTTAAAAGTTTCAGATTTTTTCTCCTTTCTTTTTGAATAATTCAATAAATTTCCAAAATTTTAAAATGTGGTAAGTTATGCTTGTGAGAAGTTACAAAAGATATAATGGTCAAAATATGCTTTACAGAAAATTTGAACAATATTTTTGTTTACTCAATTGTAAAACGTTAAGTACCCTTAACAGTGACATATATTCCAGAAATATGGATCAAAATTGACATTTTTTTTACTGTTTTATTTTGTTCTTTATATTATTATAAAAGTTAGAAAATGGTTTTTTATTGCAAAAATAAAATTTTAAATGCAATAGCATAATTTTTTACATTCACAAAAAAAAGTAATGGATTACACACACATCTTATTAAATTAGAGCAAATGAAACAAAATTTTGAAGTTAAATATAATCTTACTAGTATAATATAAAAACACAACTATATGAGTTTCAATACATAAATTTTACATATCTTTTGCAGTTTGGTATATCCCGAAACTAATTAATAAGTATTGTATTTTCAGTAAGGAATTTTGGTTGAGCCCTCAGCATTCCTGAGCCCCCCTCTCTCCTCCTCCTTCAGTTCAACCTTGACTATATCACATATAAATCACATGCATAATTTTCTTAAGTAGTAAATTAAAATTTTCCATAATGTTGATATGTGTACCCAGTCTGACCGGCGATTTGACTTTTTCCAGAAAAATTCTTTTTTGAAAAAAAAGTAGTTCCTCAATAACTTTTCAGGAATGATATACTTTACACCACTAAACAATTAATGTCGCGATTAAATCTGACAGTTCCTAGGGTTGAACAGTTTTGTTCCAACAGGCCTTCGAATCTTAATTACCCGGTCTCACCCCACTTTCCCCGGCATTTTTTTTTATTTATTAATTTGTATTCAGTCAAATAAAACAATTTTTTCAATGTATTTAATAGAGGTTTTATGTTTTTTAATAATTTTTAACAACCACATTAGAGTTGTTATTGGTTTCAAATAATTAATGACATAATGCATACTGACGGAAGAAAACTAACTTATGCCCAGAGCGCCAAAATAAATAAATGAACAGACCACCCTGAATAACTTTTGATCTAATGACCGGATCGTCACTCAATCTTAAGGGGCGACCTCGAATATGCTAATTAATTAGTGCAGACGATATTTTAAGTTACGTAATCATACACAACAACGTACTTTGCTCTAAATAAACATACCTCTTTTTCGAGGGATTCGGATTTTTGACCCCGAAATATAGGAGGTAACCGTTATCTGGGAAATATGATCGCCATAGTTTGATCAGGAGAGATCAGGATTTTGGACCCCTTAATGTCTATTTTAATTTTTGCGTATTTCGCCATACATCGAGAACTTTTAACACGAAATGAAAACTCTTTCAAAAATTATGAAACTCGTTTATCCAAAGATAATTTCATGCAAAAAATAAATTTCAATAAATATTTACTATTTTTTATTATTTTATTTAACAATAGCCGAAAGAGTTTTGAATTGTATAATGCGTACAATTTACTTCTTCATTTTAAAGTATCCAATTTTACATGGCAGAATACAAAACGTGAGAGAAATCGGTAGAATTGTTTCTGAGAAATTGAATTTTAAATATACGACTTGATTATTATAATATTTATATTTTAAAACTATATTTCAAAACTAGATTTCTCAGAAACTATTCAATCGATTTCGCTCAAATTCTGCATTTTGCAATGCAAAATTAAACACTTTAAAATGATGTAAAAAATTGTATACCTAACAATGCAAAACTTTTAATAATTTTGTAAGACTTTTTGATCATCATTAAGCATGAGGTCGTCACCCATTAATGAAGCTCTAGTTCGAAGTTAACAACTGAAGCTAAATTAAATAAACTTTTCATTTATCTCAGTATTTTATCACTTGCGTTAACTGACGTTGCGGTAATTCCACAACTACAATTTCTGAGATTCTGTTCCCAAACAATCTTAATAGACAAGGATTTCGACAAACTGGCTTTATGAAGGTCATTTTGAGGAACTCTCGTTTGCGTTACATGGGGATGAAAACTTTCTATGTCTTACATGAAAGTTGAGTTTTCGAATGAATTTTTAATATTCGTATCCATTGCGTGCTACTCAACTCTGCTCTAGTAGCTGTAGTGTTTTTAAAACGATCTTTTTTAAACGGTATTTTTACTTTCGAAATAATTTAACAAAATGTTTACATACTATGCGGGTTCTGAAAAGCTAAGAAAATTGTTTTTCGAAAAAGTCAGTAATTTGTTCTTCCTTAAATAACAACCATTAACCATGGCCAGAAAATGAGAAATCATAAAAAATTGTTTTATAAAAAATTATGAGAAAACATTTATTTCATGTGGTTATCGTAAACTGAAATAAGAGCTTATTTTCGAACTCGTCTGTTTGTATCTTGAAAAATGAAATTTTCTTGAAGATTTATGTGCCATATTAATAAAACTGATCTTTTTTTTTCATAGTTCATATAAACTATTTGAATAGTTCACTTAATGGCCACCCATAAAATACTTGAAACCTAACTTAAAATTTTTAAACTTAACACTTAAGAAATGGTCTCAATTCCATGTTTTTACAGTCATCCTATTTTAAAATTAGTGTACTTCCACCTTATTTTTTACTCCCAAACGGAGACGAATCAAACTAGAGAATAAAAAAAATACCTTCATTAGGGTATCTTAAAAATAAAAGAAAGCAAACCATTCAATCAAACAAGAATTTGAAGTATTCTATTTTGTATAAATAGTAATTCTTTTTTTTAAACATTTTAAAATTGTTTTGAATAATTCCATAGATCCCGACCATGTCACTATCATTGTCTACAGATTTTAAGTGGAAGAGCATTGCTATATTGTTGTCATCTCGAGTCTGTGCAGAAAAAACTAATGGAAGAAGCAAACCTCAAAATTCTAGTCTCTGCAACTGAAGCTACTTTGGATCCAGTAAGTATTTAAAGCTTGTCTAGAATTTCATTCATTTCGGTTTTTCCTTTTTAAATGCTTCAATACTAAATGAAAAGAACACAATTTTTAAACTCTACCTTGCGAGTTTTATCTTTGATGAGAACAATTGTAGCATTTAAAAAATTTTTTAAACTGTAGCGTTTTTCTGTATCAAGCAATAAGCTTTTTTACTTCTTATTTACACGAGGCCAACATCAGGCGCATGACGTCACAAGAGGAACGAAAACCTGATTTTTCGTGTCCTAGCTTGATTTCAAGTAAGCATTATCGGGTGAAGAATCAGAGTCAGGCTAACCTTGAAAAGTGGGGTTCGTTACTTTAGAAATGATGTTTGATATACCTTTTTTCAGTCTTTTTTTCCCCAACAAGCTTGTGACGTCAGAAGACTGTTTGTTGGCGTCTGTTTTTAATCCTCGTGTAAATGGGGTGTTACAGGGATTAATGTATTAGTATCAGTATGGGAATGTAAAGGGGAATCGACTGATTATGTTTATTATTTTTATCAGTCAAACCCCGTTATAGTGAACATACAAGGGACCGAAATTTTGGTTCATTATAACCGGGAGTTCACTATATCCGCACTGTAAACAATTTTAACTAATTTTATCAAGCTGCTCCCTTTTATTACATATTATTTAAATAAATGATCAATAAAAAGAAATACAAAAATGATTAAAAAACAATATGTAGTTACAAAAAATGTGTTAACTTTTTATGGATTTTTAGGGAAAACATCTGGGATTTGCTGGGATTTCGTATTCGCTACGCTACCGAGAGTTTGCTAGAGCGGCAAGACTTTTTGACCCGGGAGTTTATTGATTATGTATTCAAAAATTAGATTTGTTGATTCAAAGGAAAACTTTCATTGACTTGAAACTCATCATTTTTGGCATAATAGTCCAGGGTCGGCAAAGGCTCTATTTGGAAGATTTCGCCAAGACAAGTTATTTTTTGACCTGTACTATCAGTCTTTTTCCCAGATCACTCTAAAATCTGATTCCACAGAATCAAGTCATTGTTGTTCAGGCCTCCTTCTGTTTTGGCTAGTGAAATTAGTAGTTCTTTTTTGGCTTTCGCGTGTGTGTACAAAATTTTTCTTTCCTGGATTTGTTTTGTCGATTACAACAATATCAACAGTCCAGTTTATACGTTTAATTTTTGGGGGAAAATATCGGAATCTTTAAAAGCTTTATAAACAGTTTTAGGTAAAGGCCATTTCCTTTGAAACCGTTTAGAATTTATTTTATAACCGTTGCTGAATAGCCGACCCAACTTCGGTTTTACGACTACTAATGTTCAACTCCGTAGCCTTGTAACTTTGAACCCAATCCAGAAGACAACGGAACTCCTGGATTAAGCATTAGTAGAGATTTGTCTTCGTGGAGGATTTTTTGATGAAACTAACCTGCGTTGCATGGAGAGGAAGACCACGAAAGCCTCCCACGGTTAGCCTCACGGCAAGGGGACTCTAACCCATGAACCACTGAGGATATTTCATGTGGTCGTTGCAAGCCGTATTGACCAGCCATTGGTGGGATTCGAGCCCGTTTCACCTCATTGGAAGGCTCTATCCCCTGATCCATTGCAGATCGTTTGGAATGCTAATGAGAACTTTTGTTGTAATGATTTTAACGATTTTTAGTTAGAGGCCATGTTTTTGAGCCATACAGTAGGATTGGCCTAATAAGAGTTTTATAGATTAGAATTTTTTTTTAATGATAAAATCTCAATAAAGTCCAAAAACCGTTTTTTTTTTTTGGACAACGAATTGTAATTTTGAATATTGCTTTTCGAGTTAACCAAAGTTCCAAGGTAGTTAAAACCATGCATCGTTTCAATCTCATACTGGCTTTATAACTAGTTTTTGAGAAGCGGAATGCTTCTCCGTAATTTAAAAAAATATTGAATATTTGAATAGAATAGAAGTACTAGGAAACGTATTTAATTAACACTAAACATACCAACACTTAATCAAATAACCGGACTTCATGTTTCTTGATTGAATGTGTGAAATACGGATGTTAGGAAGGAAATAAACTAAAAAAACTTTATTATAATTAATTAAAATTGTATATTGCCAATTTTTATGTATTACAAACACAAAGAATAAGAATTTTTATTTCATTGCTCAACGTTTTTTTTAGGTATACAGGGTGTTTATATTGTACATTTTTCTTCTAATTGTTATTATTTCTATAATTATTATAATTATTCTTATAATTATAAGAATATATAAGAATTATAATTATTCTTATAATTAATATTATTTCTTCTAAGAACTTGTGTCGTCTTGATTGTTTCGACATTTTTCTGGGTAAAAACTAACGATTAGTTAGAAATGTAGTAAAGCTATCAAAATAAAACATAAGCTACTTACCAAAACATTTAGTTTTTGTCACTTTTTCTTACACAAAAATGCCAATCTAAAATTTTAGGTACTTTCTTGAAGTTTGAGTTCGCAGTTATTCTGATTGAACTAACTACTCATGTCTTTGCAGAAATGCGTAACTCATTGAATGCAATACGTTGAACACGCATTACATCGTAATTTTTGATCCGATAACCTTATAAAGAAATAATTTGTTTTCCCGGTCAAACGAAGGATTGTGGTAGAAATAGGTATATGACAAGTATTATTCGAAACAAAAAAAGAATAATAGAATATAATTGTTAGTCACAAAAACGATACGATGATAATTGCATTTTCGATGCAAAAGTTCTTCATTTGAGCGGTTATGGTGTTAATCAAATATGATATTAATTAGTGATATTATTTCAGGAACTTTTGTGCCTCGCCCTTCAAGCATTAGCTATTTTATGCATGAATCCAGATTTCCATAAAGATCTCTTGGAGTGTGATTTAATTGAAAACTTGACGCAGTTAATATTACCATCTGATGAATGGTTTCATGAAGGTCAACCATTTCTTTATGCTCGTTATGTTAAACATCATGCAACAAGGATTTTAGTCTATTTAGATCAAGATAGTCATATAAGAAATAATCTTTTTCAATTATTAGGTAAGTATTTCCTTATTTTATATTTAATTGCCTTCGTGTATGTCTGTTCGGGTGGAATTTTATAATCGAACTAGCTACAGACTTCAAATTTAGCACATTCTTCAGAATCGGATGAAAATGAAGAGAAAGAAGACATACAAAGTAAAATAAAATTAAAGAAAAATTTATATTTTCGCGATTGTCTTTTGTTTGTAGATTCGATTATTTCAAATTAGTTGAAAGGTTTTGTGTACAGTGAGGGAAAAAAATTGAGATTTTGGAAGTGAGTACAAAAAAAGAAGAAAAAAAAATCAAAATAGAAAATATTTTTAAAAACCACGTTTTTGTAATGGAGAATATTAATTAAAAAATAAAAATTTGAAAAACGAAAAACGTGGGGCGCATGAAATACATAACAGTACATATACACATTTTCTTACTCATACACATGCACAGCCACATACCCATGCATATATTCCACATACACATCCACAAACATATTCCACATGCGCATCCACATACAGATACAATTGCAATTACAGACATACATTCACATATTCTCATGAGCACACATACGCACACTAATATAACATTACTGTTGTGTATTTCAGCTCCCCGCGTTTTTCGTTTTTCAAATTTTTATTTTTCAGTTATTATTCTCCACTACAAAAACGTGATTTTTAAAGATATTATTTTTTATTTAGATCATCATGGACAAGAAAGTAAAATTAAAAAATACTGTTTTTGATTACTTAAGGCTACAGTGGACTCTTTATAGGTTATTCTCAAAAAAATTAATTCATTGCTGTAACTTACAGCAATTTTTTAGCAATATTTTGCACCAAACTTTAACTTTATATTTTGATAGAAAACGTAAAAAAAATATAATTTGATTCATAATTCATGGTATAACATCAAAAGTTTAAGTGAGCTGCTTACACTAAACTTTTCCTTAAATTCTAAGATTATTTATTAATTATTTACATTTCCCTTCAAATTGTAGGAAAAAAAAATTACACATTTACAAAAATTCACAAATTTCATAGAGAGTAGAAAAATCAAGTTTCGACAAAAAAGGAAAAAAAAGAACCTGAAAACTGTCCCTCAATGAACATTTTGGAACATTGAGCTGACTATAAAATATGTTGTGACACTCTATTTTGAAATTTTCTCTCTAGAAATTTTTTTTATTGATCTAGAGAGTGTGTCAAAAAAATTCATGGGATAGTCATCAAAATTACAGCGCATGGAATTATGTCAATTTCCAGTTAGATGCAAAATTTTTGTTTTGAAAGCGAAAGCAAAATAACACTAATATTGTCAAATGTTTAACAAATTCTTATGATTCTAATAATTAATATGTGCACCATGTTTGTGTATCGACTTTTAATAGATGACTAATATTCGTAGAATCACTTTTTTACGTACCCTCTTTATCCGATATGTGAAGTTTCTAAATAAAATTTACATAACATAGAAAAATGCTTCATGATTTCGCACTAACTGAAAAATAACTTTGCGAGAATGTGTGCGAAAATTAAATAACTTTCTGAATTGTGAGAATGTGTGTAAAAATTTTTTGAATTGGTAAAGCTAACGCTCTTTCTGTCGTATAGTGAATTCGTAGAAAACTTTACATTTAAAAACTTCATATTTTTATGGATTAAAAAACTTAATATTTTCAATTTTATTTTCTGGAAAGAAATATGATTTTAAAGAGAGAAATTAAACGCATGCTTCTCCATTCGTCTAAAGAAAAAAGATTAAAAACTGATAGTATAATTATTTTATGATATGATTATGGCTTCTATGATAAAAATGAAGAGAGCAAAACTATATAATGAGGGATCATTGAGATAGATAATTAATATAAAGATTTGGAATTGTAAATATGTGGTTATTAATTTTTGAAGAATAATAATAAAATTCTATTATCATTCTTTCCATTCATCACTGTCTATATCATTGGTGTATAAAAAATATTTATTGTGGGTAGAAAGTTTTCAAATTTCTACATCCATTCAGAACAGACGTTTTTTTTTTTTTTATCAAACGTGACTAAATTTAATTTTAAAATCATCGTTGAACCGCCGACCCAATTTTTGGGACTACTAATGTTCAACTCCGTAGCCTTGTCATTTTGACCCCAATTCAGAAGACAAGGGATCAAGGGTTGGGAGAAATTTTCCTTTGTGGAGGGTGGAACTAACCCANTTATTGTGGGTAGAAAGTTTTCAGATTTCTACATCCATTCAGAACAGACGGTTTTTTTTTTATCAAACGTGACTTAATTTAATTTTAAAACCATCGTTGAACCGCCGACCCAATTTTTGGGACTACTAATGTTCAACTCCGTAGCCTTGTCATTTTGACCCCAATTCAGAAGACAAGGGATCAAGGGTTGGGAGAAATTTTCCTTTGTGGAGGGTGGAACTAACCCGCATTTATGTGGAGAGGAAGACGATGAGAACCAACCACGGTTAACCTAACGGCAAAGGGACTTTAACCCATGATTCGTCTACCACTAAGGATATTTCACGTCAGCACTGTGGTCGGTGCAAGCCGGATGCAGATTCGTTTTCGCCAGCCATCGCTGGGGATTCGAACCCGGTTTACCACATTGGAAGGAGAATGTTCTATCCCCTGAGCCATTATGGCTCAACATAACTTTATTATTCACATTTTTCTTAGTTGAGCAAATTATTTGTATTCACAGTAAAATATTTATTATAATAACTTATATAACTGTAAAAAATTATGCACACATTTTTCTTTTTTAATTTAAAGTGAAAGCTAATATTCACTTAGTTTAAATGTAAACATATAATTTCTTTTATAATGGTCCCGCAGTGAACTAATCGTAAAGACACGGTTCCTACTGGAACTCCGAAGTAAAGCATCGTAATCGAATTAAAGGTCAGTAAGCGGGTGGATGACGACTTTGATCAGCCTGCGTAGGGACCTCGGGTGCCCGGTACCGGTCCTCTTATAACTGTTTTACCATAAAGTTCTCGACTTCACGCACAGGTATTCGAGCTGCCAAAGCAGGAGAGCCATCCCCTCTGCAAAGGATCAAAATTGCGATGACATGTCTTCGGATCATCCTCCGGGATGTTTCCCAGACCGTTGCCAATAGCCCATTGTGCAGCTCTAGTGCGACGTTAATAAAGTACACACCTACCTTCTTTTATAATGCGAAAAAAAATTTCGTGACTTCAATGTTCAAATTCGAGCGCTAATGTGTGAAATACGACCGGAATTTATTTTATTTCTTAAGTTGCATAATTTGAATAAAAAAATATCGTAATCGCTAACTGTCTCTCATTTGTCACGAAATATCTTTATCAATGTCAATTTATCTTTTATAGGTTCCAATAATTGTCTCTATTTTATTTATTTTGATATCATTATTATAAATTTCTATCTACGGAAGATCCTCTTGAACTAAGACATTTTAAGGAATTAATAGTTAAAAATATGTTATCTGATAGAATTAAGATGAGTGAAGCTACGGAGCCCTTGGGCAACTGAAGTGCTGTCGTTAGTAAGTTATTCCGGAGTAGAAGCTCTAATAGACTTAGAGTCGGGCTTTAATCTAAATTTTGGGAGCGAAAAGCTCCAGAATAGGATCGCATGTCGCATCCATAGCAGGAAAAGAAGCATATCGGATAAGTATTTGGTGATCTGAATTATTAAAAAGTTAGGGATGGAATACTCCCGAGTCAGTGAAAGGAAGATTACTTATAATGTTTGGAAGGAATTCCATCTAAGAGGAATGGGATTATGGTCTCGAATATCAAGGAGTAAATCTTTAATAATTGGATGCCAGCTTGAGCAGAATCTTTGACTTTACTGAAAAATGAGGCATTTAATTCATTGATGTATTCGTGTTAAAATCTTTCCTAATGGCTTTATCTGGTAGATAATAGAAGAGCCTCTGTAAAGCGACTTCGGAGTTTATTTTGTATTGTTTCCACTTCTTTATTTGCGTTTGCTTAACGCATCCCCAGGCTGGGTATGCATACGTCAAGATTTGAAGCTAAATGTGATGAAGAATTTATTATTGGCCTTAACTGTAAGCTGCATACTCCTTATTTATGACTTTTTTTTTAACTTTGAGGTTCCAAGTAAGTCTATCGTTTTATGATAGTCTGCTTGGTTAACTAGTGGGATAACTTGATTAAATACTATCACATTATCCTTGATACCTTTGTTCCTCTTTTTACCACGAATCAGCGTCAGCTCTGATTTGTCTGCATTAAGTAATATTTTAGTATCGGCACACCAGGATTCCGTCATAAGGTTATAGATATTATTCACAGCAAGATTTTTGCATTTAGAGATCTGATAGCTATAGCTGTATCATCTGCATAATAGGCAATAAGATATTTTCTTTGACTGTTGCAGGATGGGAAATCGCTTGTAAAGATTTGGTGGAGCAGTGTTTCCCAAAGTGTGGTACGCGTACCCCCAGTTTAGCGGGGGTACGTGTTCTTATGCGAAATATCTTGCAACAAACAAGAATTTCAACAAATTTTACTTAAAAACAAAGCTAGCCATGAAAATTTACGATTACGTATTTTTCTATAGGCTAATTTTTTTTCCAGATTTGACAATTAATAATTAGTGGTGTCAACAGTCAGTTGGGATTTTTAACTTTTGTGCAATTTTTTTTTCTAGTAAAAAATGCATTCATTTTTTTATTGGTGGTACACAGCGTTACAAAAAATTTAGAAAGGGTACACAAAGGCCATAAGTTTGGGAAACACTGAGGTAGAGTATTGGTCTCAATATAGTACCTTGCAGGACTTCTGCATGTATATTTCTTTTATCAGAGAGGTGGTCGTTTAGGCGGATTTAAAATGTTCTACTGTTTCAGTACGAATCTATAACTTTGAATATTGAAAGGGAGGTTTTGATTAATTAATTTAGTTATGAAGGCACTATGTCAGCCTTGGTCAAAGGCTTTGGCCACGTCTAGCATGAGCAGGGCGGTGGTTTCTCTTTTGAAGATCCCATCA